GATTTGTCGTCTTATCTACGTTCGAACGAGAGAGCCCACTGAATTGCCGGAGAGCGAATTGCCGCCGTATACCGGGGAAAAATCCGACGGCACCGAATAGTTCGCAAGCTCCCGATTACCAAACTCACTTTCTTCTTCTTCTTCATTGACTCGTCCTCCATGAACGTTCCGTACAATTCTTTTCGAACAGTCACCTATCCTCTTCCGTCCCCCATTCATGTTCCTAAATCCCTAGTGGCCCCGAAATTTACCTCACTTTCAGCCGCCCTAAATTCAGGCAAAGTTGGATGCTGGAAAATCGTCCTTAAGCCAGTGAGGAAGACGTTTTTTATTGTTAGAGCTTCCAAGAGTGATGATGCTGGAGCTGAGAAGTGGCTGAAATGGTTACCGAAGGGAGCTTTAGCCGCCGATAAAGTCTTGCGCGGCATTGCCGGTGCAACCGCCAGCCCCATCAGCCAGTTCATCTCGTCGCCGGTCACGTTTCTTCACTCTGTAGACTCGCGAATCAAATTGGTAATTTCATTTTTGTAGTTTATCGATGCAAAAATCTTGGATAATAAGCTTTGAGAATTGACTAATCATGCTATATGTAATGAATTTATTCTTCCTCTGTACCTTTGTTTGTTCTATGAATCTCGGTTGATTGCTCGTTTTGTTTGGCAGATTTGGCTTTTGGCTCTTGTTGTCTTACCAGCAAGATCAAACATCACAATCCGTTTTGGATTAGTGATTTTCTTGGCTTTTCTATCCATATGGACTCTTCCAACCGAGTTATGGAAGGTACATTTCGATCGAACGCGTTATATGATCCATATAATTCTTTCAGTCAGTGAAAATCAGGGCCTACATTTCATTCCGTTGGATGGAACAATGTGATAACAGTGGAGGGATTCTCTTACTTTCTAGGATCAACTGGGAAGAGTTTCTCTACTCTCAGGAATTTTGTTCATCATGTTGGGGCTGGGTGCAGATGGAGTGCCATCCCTCCTCCAATCAAGAACTCCTCCACCTGGAATGATGGGATTGCCTGAGCTTCCTGCATCTCTGGGAGGTTACTCTTATTTAATAGCAAAACTTGGCCCTTTAACTTTTACGAGGAAGGGCTTGTCAATAGCAAGTACATCAGCATGTTTAACTTTTGTTGTAAGTTGAATATCCTTAGATTTTGCTTTAACACTTCATTTATGGTAAAAGAAAGTGCAACTAAACTGAATTAATTGGCTTTATGTTACCTGAGAGGATCGGTTCGTTTGGTTTGATTGTTCTTGAAGGTCTTCCAAAGTGCAAGTCTCTGCCTCACAACCACAGCCCCCGAGCAACTTGCATTCGCCATTCGATGGTTTATGCTTCCTTTGGTGTATTTTGGCGTTCCAGTTGCTGAAATCACCCTTACACTTTTACTTTCTTTGAGATTTGTCAGTCTGGTGTTTGATGAGGTAAGAGATTGATTGTTTAGTGGCATTCATTGGCTCATTTGTTATGTTTTTGCCATTTACGAAACTTGCCATGTTTCTGCCAGGTTCGAAATGTTGCGTTAGGGGTTGTATCCCGCAGGATAAACTGGGAACTATTGACCACAATGGAGTCGGTTGACGGTAAGCATCGAGTAACAATGCCAACATGCATACATCAAAAGCATAACCTTCTTAGTTGAATACTTGGGTAGCATGGGGAAGTTCTTGTCATGATTTGTAGACGTAGAAATATTAATGTAGAACAGCTTTATCCGAGGAACTTTGGGGCGATATTTTTTCCCCAAAATTTTATTGTGCAAATGCTTCTTGATTTGAAGCATTTCATTATTCAAATTATCATGCCCTAGACTGATAATCTTCAATGTTAACTTTAACGCCATTATGTCACATTTCATTCAAAGTGCTTTGCTTTAAAATCATTATATCATTGAAATGCTTACTTGTTTTCGTTTTCCGTGCAGTTTTCTTTACTTATCTCCGTCGCATTTTCAAAAATATTTTTAGCCATGCAGAGCAGATTTCTCAGGTAACCTATTCACTGCATATAACTGATCATTTCGTCATTTACTGTGTGCAGTCTGTGTTATCAAAAGGCTATGTTTCTAATCATCAATTTTCTCTTGGGACTTCTTTAGATTCTTGGTGTAAATGCTCACCCTTTTTAGCTCTTACCACCGACTGCCACACCCAAGCCCCAAGCATATGCCCATGTGCGGCGCATTGTGCTTGGGGCGTGGGCGTGGCGGGTGACATAGAGGTGCCCCCGTGCCTAGCTCAAGCAGACTAGTCACCCCCTATATAGTACATTTTGAGGTATTTTTGGTTTTTCAGGCATAGACATGATTTTTTTGAATGGTCACACGATCTTTTGACCCATTGGAGAACTCTTTTCGGTTGGGTTTTGCCCTATATATATATATCCTTTCTCTTTTCTCTTCTCTTTTCTCTTTTCTCTTTTCTCTTCTCTTTTCTTTTTACAGAAAACTAATTTCATTTATGTATGAAATTTACAACAGAAGGGCAAAGCCCAACCGAAAGGAGTATTTTTTTTTTTTTTCTTTTTTCGCTATCAAGATGCCCCAAGGTTCTTAGATGAGGTCTTGGTTCATACCCAAGTTAAACTTAATAATTTAGATCCTGATTGACAATCATTTGGTTTTTGTTCATAATAATCTCATTATAAATTAGCAAAAATGGGCCATGAACATAATGCAAGGAATTGAACTCCCACATCATGCCCTCGGTTATTAAAAGACTAGAGTAGAAATGGCTATCATGATCATCTAGAGCAAGAATTCTGATTTAACATGAATTTATTTTGTTACTTGCTTTTAAACTTTCAATTCTCTATTTATCTGTTTATGTTATGGATCTGCTTCCAATGTACTGGTATTAGCTCATTTACGAGTTGATCGATTCCTTAAATTTGTCTTCTTGTAAGAAATCCATACCGAACGATTACCTGAATGTAGAGATGCCTTGAGCTACTGTAATAAGCACCCTAAGAATCGCCTTTCGTTCTTTTAAATTTGTATCTCTATGCCTTTCAGCTCATCTTTTTAAATTTTTGTTGTGTTTTCATATATATCGAACGAAATTTGATTCATTAACTTATGCTGCAGGCTATGATTGTAAGAGGTTTCCGAGGGGATAGCAGCAGTCATAAGCTGTATTTCTTATCAAACTCATCAAGCAGAGTGGCAAATATTCTCTCCCTGTTGTGCCTGATTGGTGTCATCAGTGCTTCTGTTTTCTTTGACAAAGTCATCATCTGATACCTTCATCCACTTTTTGCTATCTAACAATTCGATGTGAGTCTCTCTAACGCTATCTTAGGTCCCGTTTTATAACTATTCGAAAAATTTGCTCGTTTCCCTCCACAAGTTCTTGGCAAGCTTTTCACCTTATTTAAAACATGATCATCAAATTGAGTCTAAATGTTGGATTTTATGTTAGTATATGAGTTCGTAAATTCCCATGAAACTCACGCAAACGAACTAAAATATCGATTATACCAACTTAGATTTCTACTCTACTGTAACATACGTTATACCGACTTGATGCCGTCGACTTTAAACGTCTTATTACTATCGCGAGGCAAACATTCTCTAAATTGATGGAACTTTGAGGTGATCTTTGATTTTTGGTTTGGCAGGTGGAAATAAATGCCCATCTCTTCAAAACCAGAGATTCATAGTTCTCTAAAGATTTTTGGTATATGGGCATGAAAGTTGATTTGGTGGATTCAAATCATACACGGTTTGAGAGCTCAGAAGGGTGTTCTGTTCCTCTGCTCCCTTGATTGTAAAATTTTGAAAGCGAAGATCTTTATTAATTTGGTAAGACAATGGAAAATTCTGTCTTAATCTAGGGAAATAATATGTTTCAAAATCTTTTTTTAGGTGGAAGCAACAATTCAGGCCTTTATTTTATTTTATTTAAACTCGTTTGTTAATATTTTGAAATCTTAGTTTAATTTTTGTCAAAATCTTTGTCCCAAAAATATTCTTAAACCTTTCTCAATAATGCTCTTAAAATTAAAAAAAAAATACTTTTGTTCATGAAATTTTTAATAATTTGTTCCAAAAATGAAATACTTTTAAACACTTTTAAAAAGTAAAAAATATCGTCATTATTGGTACCACTACTCTTTAAAAATTTATGGATATTTTTCAAACAAGGTAGTATTAGTAGGGTATTTTTGAATTTTTTTGTTTTTTAAATGAAGGATATTAATTAAATTTTTAGGGTATTTTTGAAACAATATTATAAAACTTAGGAGTATTTTTGAAACAAATTACTAATGGTTTCCCTCCGAAACCAACCATAAAGATATTTTTTAGATTTTTTTTTTAATAATGTTTAAGAATATTATTGAAACAAATTGATATATTTCTTTTATTAATTTAGTCATAATTTTTAAAATAAAATACAAGTCTACTTTTTTCAATTTTCCCAATTTTTAAATTTTGAGTTAAAAAATATGTGAAAAAAAACAAAGTTGTTAAATAAATATGAACTAAGAATAAATAAATAAATATGAAAGAGAAATGGGGCATCAAATTGACTTTTAATTGCTATTAATGTAATTAAAGACAAAGTCGTCGTGTGTGTGGATTTAATTTATAATTTAAAAATACTTCTAATAATTTTTAAAATGTTACGAATATTCAAAATATCATAAATATTTGAAATAATCACATTTTTTAGTTATTATTTTACCTAATATTATTGAATTTATTAAAACGTTTTATATTTTTTTAATAGAAATTATAACGAAAAATGAAAATTATTTATAAAAAAAAAAATTCTTTAAAAGGAATAATTTATTAGTAAAAAATTCAAAACTCAACGATGAGAATTGAAATGAAAAGTCACCGTTAAGTCACGCGTGAAGATCTCGACCGTCAGAACAATACAGCAACACGCAGTTTTTCTTTCTATCCAACGACCAGAAGAAGGCTGTGATGCTCAAGCGTCACAAACTCGTCACTTGATCAAAACTATGACTCAGTCGGCATTCTTATTGGTGATGGTGGTGGCCTCCCAAAAACACAGCGAGAGAATTTTCGAGCGAAAAACGAAGAGATGTACGGGTACACGGGCGTGAGTAACAAGGGTGGAGAAGTAGACCTAGAATCAGGGGAGACCTTGTATCCAGGTTTGAGCTATGGCGAAAATCAGCTCCGATGGGGTTTCATCCGTAAGGTGTACGGAATTCTTGCGGCGCAGATCGTTCTCACCACCCTTGTCTCCTCCGTTACCGTTTTATACTCTCCGATCAACGACCTTCTCCGAGGAAATTCTGGTCTTCTTCTGTTCCTTTGCTTCCTTCCCCTAATCTGTAAGTCAATCATTTCGGAATCGCAGTCCAATTGTCGCTGTTTTATATTCGTTAATCGGTTCTGAATTTTCTTTTTATGGTTCTTGGCGGATCAATTTTATTGTGCATTTGTTTTTTTTATTTCATGAATTATGTGGATCGGAATAATCACGGCTTTTCCTTTTCGGTCTTATGAAATTGGCGTCCTTATTTTCTGTAGATCAACGACAAAAAAAATTTCTTCAATCATGTACCTAATTGTTCATGTACTCTGAGATTCTTTTATTTGTTCAGAAGAATACTTGTGGATGGAATTAGCTTTTACTTCATTTTGAAGCAAGAGCAACAAATCAAACGTTAATGACGGAAAAAAAAAATCAATTTTCATCCTAAACTTTCAATTTCATCCGATTTCACTTCAAACCTCAAACTTGGACAGCGTTGAAATCTTAATCTACACTAATTCTGGATATTCTTCGGATTTTTTGGGGTTAAATTTGTGAGTGAATCAATGAAAATTGAGTAGTGGGTCAAACATGCAACATGCTTATGAGTTTAGGCTTCAATTTGATGATCATGTTGAAATCACAGGGTGAAAATCAACAAATGACAAGTTTAGGGGTCCTTAAAATTTGATGATCAAATGGATTCCGTTATAGAGTTCTTGCTTCTTTTATGAAATGATTTGAACAGTCTTCCATAAAAATAAATCTTAAATGCTAAAAACAGTTATAAGTTCAAATATTTATCATGATTCATCATTGATTTCCATTATTTGATATAAGGGTAATTATCTTGTTGAATTCATCACTGACTGGTGGACCATTTCTAAAAAGCTTTCTGATTCTATCTATTACTTCATGTTGATTCTTTCGTTTGAGTTAGCATCATAGTTCAATATCTTTCAATAACTCCAAATCTTTGCAGTATTATGGCCAATGTACATTTACAGGCAGAAGCACCCTCTGAACCTCGTCTTCCTCGGACTTTTTACGGCTACACTAAGCCTCACGGTTGGCGTTAGCTGCGCTAACACTGATGGTTAGTATAAGTACAGTAAATTGTTCAGCCTTGCTGATTAGATAGTAAGCATGATTAATTGTGATTTTGTGATGGTGCTTGCAGGGAGGATTGTGCTTGAAGCACTAATTTTGACCTCAGCTGTTGTTTCTTCCTTAACTGGGTACACATTCTGGGCCTCAAAGAAGGGCAAAGATTTCAGCTATCTTGGACCGTTTTTGTTTACTGCCCTAATGATCCTCCTCCTCACTAGCTTCATTCAGGTCATTTACTGCCCCTTCACTACTACTTCATAGTCAACAGTGGTTCTAGTGACTCTACTTCTATATTTTTTACTAGCACCTTGTCAATGCCAGGAGGGATCCAGAAAATTTTATATGGAGGGGTAGAAATTTTACAATTTAGCTTAGCTTAATCTAGTGGGAAAAGTTGAGAGAACTCTAAAATCTTATGTTCCGTTTGATAACCATATGTTTAGTTTTTAGACTTCGAAAATTAAGCTTATAAACACGAGCACTACTCGTGTTTGTTTGTTCTGCTACTTTTTACAAGGGTTTCTAAAGTTCATGTTAAAGTTTTGAAATCTAAAGAACTAGTTCTTAAGAACTTGTTTTTGTTTTTCAAATGTTTCATTTAAAAACGATGAAAACCTCAGTAAACGAACGACATAATTTTCAAAAACTAAATGGTTATAAAACAGAACTATTTTATATAATTTTCTTAACCAATTGTCCTTCTTCCTTTGCTTGGAATTTGTTCTAACAGAACATCGATTGAATCATTAACAACATTATCTTCATAACTCTTAAGTGTATGATATGTTGTCTCGTATCGTAGGCATTCTTCCCTCTGGGTCCTACTTCCACAGCAGTTTACGGTGGAATTGGTGCGATAATTTTCTCGGGTTACATTATATATGATACGGACAATCTGATCAAGCGTTTTACATATGATGATTACATATGGGCTGCAGTCACTCTGTATCTAGATATCCTGAACTTGTTCCTGACCATTTTGCGGATGCTGAGACAGGGAGACAACTAGGTGGACAAAGTTTTCTGTACCTCAATTCAAGCTTCCATCGCTCATATATGTCTGGTTGAAATAATTGTTGGTAGAAAAAGAAAAAGAAAGGAAGGTACATAATACTCTGAAGGATTTTCATGTTGGCTTTTAGTTTTTATTGTGACTGAATGAAGTTTGATAATTTAGTTCAATTTGTCCACCTAAACTGTGTTACATATATCTATATATATACCTTGTTTGTAAATTAAGCATTTTCATATGTTTTGTCTTGCTCGGCTGCTGCTTTGTTTTCTTGGGAAATATGATTAATTGGCGTGAAGATTGAGAACTGCCCTTGTGATGTTCGATGGTGTGCTGTAATTGGAAAAACGATAATTTAGCTCAATTCTTCTGAATTCTTACCCTTGAAATTTCAGCTCTCTTCTAGCAAGTTTTTGCAATCAAAATGATTCCTTCAAAAGAATAGTTGATCGGTATTCTTTTGATACCAACTCTAAAAATTTCTGTTTATTCAAAATTTTGACACGAGCATATACTAAATTAGTTGAGTCATACGTTGACGCTGACCTCGCCAGTCCAGGTGAACCACCTGTTCCCACTAGGTCGTCCATCCTCCAATACCTGGCCACAATATATGACTCAATGGCAACGTCAACGACTACATCAGCAAGGGGTGGGCAATCTCCAATTTTTTTTTCCATTAGACGAATTATATTTTTCGTCATGTCTTTGTCCTAGCCACGTATTACGTGTAAAAGATATATAATATTAAAATTTAAATTTTTAGAAATAATGTTGTAATATTATTTATTGGATCTAATGTTTTACATATTTAAATGTAAATTATATTAGAAAATATAAACATTTCTTTAAAAAATCTTTGAAACAAATATGTATATATATATTAAAAAATGAAGGAAAAAAAAAATTATGGAAAACTCGAACCTCCATGATTATCGTGGAAAATTCCTGTGTTGATCTTGCAAAAATAAATGCGGTTAAAAAGAGAAAAAAAAAAAACAAAAAACATTTGACTTAGAAGAATGTTGAATGATTAATATTTTAGAGATGACCAGGCAATTTCTGGGCTAAAGAGTGCCTCCACGCAATACTAATTACAGACACCTTCAATTTGCAACAATGTTTCGCAGTACACTGTTAAAGAGAATTATTTATACATTAATAACTTGTACTTTCACAAATAATCAAACATCTCCTGCATTTTAAATGCAAACTCACTCAACAGGAGCCATAGTTTTGGGGGATAAAAAGGCACGGCGTGGGACAACAATGGCTTCAACCTGTAAGATGTTGCAAGCGTGAAACTCTCTCTATTTCTTTGATAATCAGCTCCTTTTCTTCTTCGAACTGTTCGTCTTCCGCACCTGTAAATCGAACGCAACCATGAATTCAACTAGCCCTGCCATGTTTCTAGTTCTACAAGCTATTAAGAAGAGAGAATATAATGCTGCCATCTTAAACTAAGAACCTTTCCCAGGAGAAAGATTGTGAAGCAATTCCAGAAGCTTTTCGTGGTTTTTCGCTACGATAACCTTGATTTCACGTGGCTTATTAGGGTTAGCAACAAAAACCTGCAAAATAATAGGACCAAATGATCCACACTATAGTTATCATATCCTGTCCCATATAATAAGTCACAAAGGTTTGCATTTGATCAACAAAACCAATTGCCTTCTTCGTGTTTTAAAATTTCCATTTGCTCTTAAAATCTAGAGTCGTCGTTGTCAAATAGCATGAGTAAGAATTTTTTTATAGCAAGGTGTAACAGCCCAAGCCCACTGCTAGCATATTGTCCTCTTTTCGGACTTCTCCTCAAGGTTTTAAAATGTGTCTACTAGGGGGAGAGGTTTCCACACCCTCATAAGGAATGCTTCGTTCCCCTCTTCAGCCGACGTGGGATTTCACAATCCACCCTCCTTGGGGGCCCAACGTTTTCGCTGGCATACTGCTCAATGTCTGGCTTTGATACCATTTGTAATAGTCCAAGCCCACCGCTAGCAAATATTGTTCTCTTTGCGCTTTTCCTTTCGGGCTTCCCCTCAAGATTTTAAAACGCGTCTACTAGGGAGAAGTTGTCACACCCCTATAAGAAATGCTTTGTTCCCAACCTTTTTGGAAACTAGTGGGAATGGACCAATGAACATAATGTGGCGAGTGATACATCGAGATCCCAGACATTAACAAAGAATTTCAAAATTCAAACGTCTATTGAAGTTCATGCCATGTTTGGTGCCACTACATAACAACAGAACTTTTTGAACCATTTTAAAGGTGCTGCAGTCGGCAGGTTGCTAAACCAGCAAGATGCAAAGAAAAGGCAACCATGACGGCAATAGATCCTTCAACAAGGTAATGAGTAAGGGAAGTCCAATATAAGAGCAAAATACATCACCTTGAATATGTGGAAAGCAGACAGTTGGATGTTCTTGCTAGAATCCTGCTCGGAAAAGTAACGAAAATGGAAAAAGGTTGAGCATCCATGGCAAATAATACTAGCACCAACTGATGGACAAATTGGAAAAACACGAAACGTGGTCAATTAATCATTACAGTACCTTTAATAGAGTCATCATTACTTTCAAATTCCGAACTTCTAGAATGTAACGCTTCATTATTTGGGAATTCGGAGATTCCAATAAGAACTCTGATAGAAGCTAAACTCAAACAAAACAAAAAAAAAAAAAAAAAAAAAAAAAAACATTTGTCACCAAAATATCCCATAATTACGTATTTAGTCATATAAAAGGAGATTAAAAGAGCCCCCGGGAGAACGAACCTTCAATGACTGTCTTCTAGTTACATAATTGGAAGAAGTCAGGAGTTTTTCGTATCTGTCAAAGAACTGGAAAATAATCTCTCATGATATGAACAAAAATGGAGTCCTAAAAAATCATATATAAATAGCTATTTGGGATATATTCTATACTTTGATGCCAGACAAGCAGGACTCTAGGCCGTATCATAACTGTTGCTATTTTAATTACAACCAGCTCTACAAAGATCAAATTGGAAATCTAGTCCTCGGATTTCCTTGCTTTTAACTAACATTGGGTTTCAATACACTTCCAAAAGAATGGAGATGAAATAAATGAAAGTATGAGAAAATACATTCAAAGGAAAGAGATTAAGGGGCTAAAAGTAAAAATTATCCAAAGAAAAGCAGCATACCTCATCATAATGAGCACTCAAAAAGTCGGAAACTATATTTTCGTGTTTGGTAAGCAGGTCCTGCCAGAAATGTACATGTTTCAAGTTTGCACTATGGATATCAAATCGAACGCATTTTGCATTACGTGTAAAGAAAACGTAATACCAGCAACTTATGTCTCACCTTGAATGTAGAAAATGCATCCGATGCGACGTCAAAAATTGGTAACTCCACAAACTTGAAGAACAATTCGAAACTTGCAGCCTCTAATATGTATCTGAGAAATCACTACAAAAGTAAACTGTGAAGAAATGAACCTCCATAAGAGTTTCCCGTCAACCAATGCGAGCCTCAATAACAATAACTTGTAATGTTTCGAAAACTACACAGTTAATTCTCTAAAAGATGTCACATGCGTAATCTTCGGTTCAAATCCATAAGGTACTTCATTATAAAATGGGGGCACATGTTCAATAGAGTTATTTTTATATTCCAAGTAAGGTTCACAGTAAAATGGATTTAAAAAACATGAAAATCCAAAAGAAATCTTGAATGCTGGGGCAACGTAAATACAAACAGGAGAGCTGCTCCTATGAATTAGGTTATGCATTATTAAATGAGTTAATGCCAAAAGTTGAAGGAGAAAAATTGTCAAATATGTAAGCATAAGGTTCCCAGAATGTAGATGCATGCCCAAAATATGAGCAAAAAATAGTGTCATCAAAGACCAATCATGGAGCTTCACTGCATTTTAGTATTGCCATTCATACATTCTGAATTAGCATCAACTTTAGCACATTGCCGAAATCTCGACGACCATTGTGAAAGCAAAAAGAGAGAGAGCGTGCTTCTTACTTTGCGAGGGTTGGGAATTTGATGCATTCCCTCAACATATTTCCACAGTTTACGGCAATTTCCTTGTTGTCGTAGCTGCGTGTAACAAGCATCGGATAAGCGTAAGCAGAGTTCAAATGGTAGCATTGCACTTGTACAAAAAGGAAACGGCGAACACATATTGGCAAATTATACAAAATGGTATAATTGGTCAAAGAAATAAGGATTTCGTTCGCAACCTCGCTAATCCGCAGATTAATATCATGACTTGACACAGATATGAACTAACTCACAGAAAGTGATGTTCTTAAACTTACCACACAACGAGAAAATCTAGCAGCTCAAAATGGTTCTCAATGTAGTTTACACAGCAATAAGTGGAGCCAACCTTTTGTTTCAACAATATGGACCAACAATTCACAAGGTCCTTTCTTGCCTACATTGAAAAACATTGTCAAACTGAAGATTGATTAAGATAAACGTTTTGCCAGGCGATCAACTGTGAGAAATGTAGGAAATAACTTACTTCCCATCCAAGAACAGGCAGCTTGTGAATTAGAAGATCGATAACACACTCATTACATATCTCCTGCGTTAGCTGTGAAACTTGTTCCGCAATGGGCTCAACCTCCGCATCTCCAATAAGCATACATCTCATAGTTATAAAGTTTTTCTCAACTTCTTCCATGGCCTGACGCAAAGGATCATTCGTATATTCAATTAACCTCTACTTCATAGACAAAGCAATTCCATCAAACAATTCTCTTAAACCTAGAATTTCCGAAAGAAAAATTGCTCAAATAGTGAGCGAATTTGAGGAATCGAGACTAACCTTCTCGAGAGCTCTAACTTCGACGACGGTTTTGGTATCCAGGGCCATGAGGCTTTCCTTAATGGATTTGACCACCTCCTGCGGGGTTCTAGGCCGCGACGGCTTGAAGAATGAGAACGACATGATCTTTAGCACAGATCAAGATCCTTCCGTCGTTTTCCTCAACTTTTTCTCAAACGATCCTCTCTGAATCCTTCAGAATTTGCAGAAACACAACGAATCAAAGCAGAAGCACCATTGTTCGGAGACTTTTTCTAAACCTTCCTCTCTGCTGTTTCCGTATTCGATCCTTCAGGTAAAATTCTGACGGAATCTTCACCAAACATTCACATTTTCTTTTCTTTAATCAAATCAACGAAAAAGAAAAACGTTGCTTTAGTGTTCCCGAGTATGGCGTATGCTTACGAAA